CTGGTCCTATCACTAATGACACGAGAGAAGAGGCCGACCCCCAGCTCACTACAACCTCCCTTCAGGAAGTTATAGACAGCAATAAGGTCTCCCCTGAGCCTCCTCTTCTCCAGGCTGAACATTCCCAGCTCCTTCAGCCTCTCCTCATATGGCCTGTGTTCCAGACCCCTCACCAGCTTTGTTGCCCTTCTTTGAACACGTTCCAGGGCCTCAATATCTTTCTTGCAGTGAGGGGCCCAAAACTGGACACAGTACTCGAGGTGCGGCCTCACGAGTGCTGAATATAGGGGAACAATCACCTCTCTGCTCCTGCTTGCAACACTGTTTCTGATGCAAGCCAGGATGCCATTGGCCTTCTTGGCCACCTGGGCACACTGTCGGCTCATGTTCAGCCGAGCATCAATCAATACCCCCAGGTCCATTTCCTCTACGCAGTCCTCCAGCCACACTGCCCCAAGCCTGTAGCGTCGCCTGGGGTTGTTGTGGCCGAAGTGCAGGACCCGGCATTTGGCCTTGTTGAAACTCATCCCATTGGCTCCAGCCCAGCTCTCCAGCCTGTCCAGATCCCTCTGTAGGGCCTCGCTACCCCCAGGCAGATCCACACTTCCAGCCAATTTGGTGTCATCTGCGAATTTACTGAGGGTGCACTCGATGCCCTCATCGAGGTCATCAATAAAGATATTGAAGAGGACAGGCCCCAGCACCGACCCCTGGGGAACACCACTCACGACCGGTCGCCAGCTGGATTTAACTCCATTCACCACCACTCTCTGTGCCCGGCCCTCCAGCCAGCTCCTTACCCAGCCAAGAGTGTACCCATCCAAGCCTCTGGCTGCCAGCTTCTGCAGGAGAATGCTGTGGGAGACAGTGTCAAAGGCTTTGCTGAAGTCTAGGTAGACCACATCAACAGCCTTTCCTTCATCCACCAGATGGGTCACTAGATCATAGAAGGAGATCAGGTTGGTCAAACAGGACCTGCCCTTCATGAACCCATGCTGGCTAGGCCTGATCCCCCGGTCACCCTGCACATGCCGCATGATCTCCCTCAAGACGATCTGCTCCATAACCTTCCCTGGCACCGAGGTCAGGCTGACAGGCCTGTAGTTCCCCGGATCCTCCTTACGACCTTTCTTATAAATGGGAGTCACATTGGCAAGCCTCCAGTCTTCTGGGACCTCACCAGTCAACAAGGAGCGCTGACAGATGATGGAAAGCGGCTCGGCTATCACCTCCGCCAGTTCCCTCAGCACTCTCGGGTGGATCTCATCTGGCCCCATCGACTTGTGACAGTCCAGCTGGAGCAGTAGGTCTCTGACTGTTTCTTTCAGAATCACAGGGGGGTTAGTGTGCTCCCCGGCCGAGATTACCAGGTCAGAGAGAGGGGTATCCTGAGGATAACTGGTCTGAGTTTTAAAGACAGACGTAAAGAAGGCATTCAGAACCTCCGCCTTTTCCTTATCCTCAGTGGTCACATTCCCAGCCTCATCCAGCAAAGAGTGGATATTCTCCTTTGTCCTCCTCTTACTGTTAATGTATTTATAAAAGAGTTTCTTATTCCTTTTCACACCAGCAGCTAGGTTAAATTCAAGCTGGGCTTTTGCCTTTCTGATTTCACCTCTACACATCCTAACAACTTTCCTGTATTCATTTTGAGTGGCCTGTCCCTCTTTCCACAGGCGGTAGATTCTCTTTTTCTCCCGGAGCCTCAGGAATAGCTCCCTATTCATCCACGCCGGTCTTCTTCCCCGCCGGCTCATTTTGCAGCTCAGGGGGACTGCCTGCTCCTGCGCCCTTAAGACTTCCTTCTTGAAGAGCAACCAGCTCTCTTGGACCCCTTTGCTCGCTAAGACTGAATGCCAGGGGACTCCCCCTATTAGTCCCCTGAACAATTCAAAGTCTGCCCTCCTGAAGTCCAAGGTAGCAGTATTACTATTCCCCCTCCAGGCTCCACTGTGAATCACGAAGTCTATCATTTCATGATCACTCTGTCCAAGACAGCCTCCAACCTCCACATCTCCCACCAAACCTTCCCTGTTTGTGAACAGCAGGTCTAGTGGGGCAGTTCCTCTCGTGGGCTCTCTGACCAGCTGTATCAGGAAGTTGTCCTCTACGCATTCCAGAAACCTCCTAGACTGCTTCCTCTGTGCTGTGCTGTACTCCCAGCATATGTCAGGGAAGTTAAAGTCCCCCATGAGGACAAGGGCAGGCGACTGTGCAGCTTGTGCCAGCTGCTTGTAGAATACCTCGTCTGTTTCTTCATCTTGATTTGGGGGTCTATAACAGACGCCCACCAGGGTGCCTGTCTTGTCAGCCCTTCCTCTGATCTTTACCCATAGGGATTCAACGTTATCGTCCCCAGTCATAATCTCAGTAGCGTAAAAGCATTCCCTAACATAGAGAGCTACACCTCCACCCCGCCTTCCTTGCCTATCTTTCCTGAAGAGTTTATAGCCATCCATTGCCGCACTCCAATCGTGGGAGCAATCCCACCACGTTTCCGTTATGGCAACTAGGTCATAGTTTGCCTGCTGCACAATGGCTTCCAACTCTTCTTGTTTGTTGCCCATGCTGCGTGCATTAGTGTAGACTAATTTATAGACTTAATAGACTATTTGTATAGAGTAAAAACACATATTACCCAAGGAAGGATGTCTTCTTCCTGCAAATGTTTGTATCTGTACTCATAAAAGCCTTTATATCACGATTTATATATAAACATATAATCTTTTGCCTAGTGTCAAGCTAAGCGTGTGTCAGACCCGAGTTTCTAAGGCTGGTAGGACCGAAGAAGGTAATGTTTACTGTAGTTGGGTTGGGAACTGTAAAGGTTATGAACTGTCCAGTGCACAGTTTGACTTCTGTTTGGGTTTTTGTTGTTGTTGTTGTTTTGGTTTTTTTAAAGATATTGCAAATGTTGAGCATGCTTTATCTCATTACAAAAGAAAGTGCTATTTAGCTACATTAAATCACTTAAGAACTAATGCTTAGTATTTTGCATAAATATCAACAAGATGCTATGCCCAAAATTATCCTCTTGCCAATTATTTTCCCTTTTCAATGAGATTCTTATATAGTTCACTAATTTTTCAGATTTTATGTGTGCATTCTAGCACAGAATAAGTATTGTACATGTTAAAACTGCTTACCTGTAATTTGTTCTTTGTTAAGACTCTCTCAAAGATAAAAAGAAAAAGCTCAAGATAAAATGTGGGAAATATTTACCATGAGATTGAACTGCTTTGTAAGGAAGTGGATCCAAATGCTTTCTTAAAACTTCTGCATTCAAAAGAAGAACTCTGTTCATGAGTTCATTCACCTGTAAGTTTAAATAAATATCTTAAAACAGGTTGCAGTGAAGTATTTTATATTCTAAGGATGGTCTTTTTGATTCCTAGTAAACAAAATCTGAAGGTCATTTTTGAGGTATGTTAGTGAGTTGTAACTTCATAGTGTGAATTTGTCAGATTTTTTACTTTCTGCATCCAAAGTCACTTTCAGGCACAACTCCAATTAATTTGAGGAAAGCCCTTCAATTTGATTAAGGCTTTTTATCTGCACTGAGTGAGCATGGTGTTTACAAACTACTGCCAGTTAATGATAATGTAATTGTGTGTACTTGTCACGTGCACAAGTACAACAGGGTTGCATACAGCCTCTTGCCCTACTGCCACATGTGCCACTAGGTCGTGTAGCACGTGGTGCTAATCGCTCCCTGGGCCTCCCCCTTTAGCCGGGCTACAAGACATCACTCCTGAAGTCAATGCAACAGAGACTCCAGTCCTACTGTGTGAATGACAAAGTAAATAATTAATTAGCTCAGTTAGAAGGTAATCATAGTGTAAATAATAAATAAAAATATTTATGATAAAGAAAAAAGTACCTGATTCGAAAGGTAATCCAAGGAAGACTGTTGATCATCCATCATGTTTCTCACCAGTTTTTTTGTGCTTCTTGCATATTCAACAAGAGAGCTCTGCAAATTCCCTTTAAAAGTAATATGTTCATTCACCTTGTTAGCACAAACTTAGAAATAGTCTTGATCAAATAATGACCATCTGTTTGTGATATCTAAACCCAAAGATGCTAAGAACTTCAGCTTTACAAATCATAAGATTTGATGAATTCCATCCTAACCTTCAGCTACTGGGATAACCAGTTAATGGATAACACTGAAATTTAAATACATCTGAAAAAAGGATAGATATGTAAGGTTTCCTGCCATTCTGCATTTTGCCTATTCACTGTGCTATTTATTCAGGTTCCTTGTTTTCCCCTGATGCTAAAAATATAGAAACTACACTTGCCATGTAATCAATAATACATAATGAAAATCATATGGGAAAGGCAAGAATTTTGACACATTTTTTTCTGAGGCTGGATAATGTCAGTTGCTGTTTAGTTTTTCCAGGTGATGAACAGAAGATACGTCCTGCATATATATCTACAAAAGGCAAGCTCAAGTACAGATTTCTTCCCACTTAATTTTGGACACTTACGTACAGCATTTAAATAAGGAACAGACATTCAAGCCTTTCTCTCAAATGGAGAGACCTACAGATATTCAGGGGATAACACAGACAGGTGGGATGAGCTACTGCTTGGATTTGCCTGTCCCAACAGCAATTACGAAGAGAAAGCAGCATGATTAACTTCATTTATCCCAACTGCACACAGCATCCCAAATCTGAACAACATTCAGAGTGGGCAGCTTGGTCAAAGTCTGCCACATGTGCTCAAGAAGATTAAAAAATAAATCAGCACAGCATAGCGTAGCGTAGCAGAGGAATGCATAGCAGGGCATTGCATAGCTTGTTGTTTAGAGTATTCTGTATGAATACATACTGCACATATACTGTTTTTCCCCTCGTAAAATTTTAGCTTGAACATCACATGGTACAAGGCATTGTTCTTTTTGTTTTGAAATATCTGCAGATTTATTTTTCTCTTCTGCCTTGAGTGGTTCCTCCACAGCTCCAACATTCCTTGTGCCCTGTTGTACCAGACAATGGAGGGGGAAATAAATTGATCACAAACACATGTTAAACTGCTCAGTCTGCCAAAATGAAGCTGATTACCCCATGGATCTTCCTTTAAAACCTGCTTTCTTAAAAGCTTTATAGCAATACTTGACAGAGCTGAGGTCAAGGCTTGTTATGCATCTTCTACTTAGCCATGTCTTGCAAGGGTGTCAGAAGTAGAGAATCACAGAATTATAGAATCAATTGAGCTGGAAGAGACCCTTAAAGGTCACCTAGTTCAACTCCCCTGCAATGAACAGCGGCACCTACAGCTCCATCAGGTTGCTCAGAACCCCATCCAGCTTGACCTCGAGTGTCATCCACCACATCTCTGGGTATGTAACCTCTATAAATTTTTAAAATACACCAAAATTTCTGCTAAAATACTCTGTGAGTGACCTGCAGGCCAAAACTTGCAAATACTTGCATTTAAGAAGCTCGCATTTTAAGACTTGCCACACCCAAGAGACATCTCAAATGCCCACAAAGTTATTTTCCCTGGAAAGGAGAGGGATTTGGGATTTACCACGTATTACAAAAACCCTTTCACTCTGCAAAGTCTCCAAATTCAGAACTTAAGAGTTTGTTTGTGGAAACGATTCCCCAAGTTATTAATCTAGGCACACAAGTAGTCTCAGATTTGCAGACAAATCCAACATATAAAAAATATTTGAAATGTTCTTGCTGGGGAAGGTTTCAAGAGACACTATTTGCAGGGATAGAATTATCTGAAATAGTAACAATAAAAGCATCAGTAAAAGTAGTTTCATACTACTACACCTAATAATGTTATTTCAAAATAGTATTTTCATATTTAACATTTTTTCTTCCATGGTGCCATAAAATACGGGGCTGTCTCTGATTCATCGCTTAAAGAAATGCCAAAATGATCCCTGAAAAATCTCCTTGTAAGAAGGCTAAGGAACATATTTTCATTTAAGTCTTCGTTTATTAATTCCATAATCTCAGCAAGGCACTGTAACATGCTCATACTGTACTTTCAGATGTAAATAGGACCTTAGAAACTTAAAGATTCTAATTAAAAAGGAAACTTACTTAGTCTTGACCAAATTGACTACTTGCTCTCCTTTCCAGCTTCAGATTTCTCTTTCTGGTTTTGGCACTACACTGACAAAGCTCTGAACAGTTTATTCCTGATTTTTGCCTTTTAAAATTGAAAATAAATATTACATTAAATGGTTAACAGGCAGATTAAAAAAAAAAGTTTCTGAATTATTAATTTGATTTCACTTTGTGTCTAGAGAGGAATAAATGCTAGAGAACAGAAACAATATGTTTCTTTGATATTGAAATAAGCACAAAATAAAGGAAGAAAAGAACAGCAACAGTTATAAAAAGACCAATTGAAACATATAAATAGATCACATGGAGCCAAGTGTTGTTCTGGGCTTTATCACGGCTATCCACCAGCTGTTCAATTAAGTAATGTTAAGAAAATACTTTAATCAGTATTAATTCTTTCTAAAGGCAAAATGAAACAGGCATTAAATTAGACCTTGGGAGTTCATGTCACAGGTTGGACTGTGCCTACACCAGGAGTTACTGTGTCTTTGCAGGGATGCAGATGACAATAAAAATACATCCCAACAACTGAACTGTTATAAAAGATGTTAAAACAAAAATGTTTTCTTGTTGTACTGTATTTCTACAGTTCCAATGCACTCTCTCTGAAAATACCTAATTCTTCCATATTCTCATACCTATCCTGAACAAAGCAGTCTATTTCTCTGTCGCTTTTCTAAGAAATTATTCAGTTACATTCATTGCCTTATCTCAGCAAAGTAATTGAAAGTCTTACCTTAGATGAACAAGGCTTGACATCACTTATAACAGTTTCTCCCCAGCCCAACAAAAGAACACTAAGAGAAATTAATGAAGTTACCCCAAAGCTCTTCATCTTTTCCTTGCAGCAATGCAAATGTTTTGACGGGTTTCACATTTCTGCGGAAAGAATTGTACACTACAGAGTGCTGAGCTAACTATTCGGGAATGTGTACAGCACAAAGAGCAGCCAACACATCACTCCTTTAATGCCTGCATTTAATAAAACACAGCTCTGTTGCACAGCAGGTTTATATACATGCACTGCTTGTCTCCTGAGAGCACTTCCTGCTCATTACCTGCACATGACACACTAAACATATCTCTGCACTGTGGTAAAAGCACGACAATTTCTTACACACTGGTTTTGAGCCCTGGTATTTGTATTTGGTAGTGAGTGATTTAGGCTCATTGAAAGAAAAAAAAAAAAAGGTATCAATTTTCAACATTTTTGACAGTGTGCCCAGGTGGCCAAGAGGGCCAACGGCATCCTGGCCTGCATTAGAAATAGTGTGGCCAGCAGGAGCAGGGAGGTGATCATCCCCCTGTACTCAGCACTGGTGAGGCCGCACCTCGAGTACTGTGTTCAGTTTTGGGCCCCTCACTACAAGAAAGACATTGAGGCCCTGGAATGTGTCCAGAGAAGGGCAACGAAACTGGTGAGGGGTCTGGAGCACAAGTCTTATGAGGAGCAGCTGAGGGAGCTGGGATTGTTCAGTCTGGAGAAGAGGAGGCTCAGGGGAGACCTCACTGCTCTCTACAACTTCCTGAAGGGAGGCTGTGGTGAAGAGGGGTTTGGCCTCTTCTCCCAGGCAATGAACAGGACCCGAGGAAACGGCCACAAGTTGTACCAGAGGAGATTTAGGTTGGATGTGAGGCTTTTTCTCTCAGAGAGTGGCCAGGCACTGGAATGGCTGCCCAGGGAGGTGGTGGAGTCGCCGTCCCTGGCAGTGTTCAAGAGGCGTCTGGATGAGGAGCTGCGAGATATGGCTTAGTGCTTGTGGTGGAAATGGTGAAGAGGAGACAGTTGGACTGGATGACCTTGTAGGTCGTTTCCAACATTGTGATTCTATGATTCTAAGATTCTAACTTTTTAAAAGACTTTTATCATTAAACTGAAGGTGTTTTCATTGGTGGGGTGGCAGAACACTAGATATGGCTTATTTCTAAACCTCAGTTTGTACCACACCTCCAGGATATGTCATGTCTGAATCACTTTCACAACAAACTCGAGTATCACCTTGAACTAGCACAGCCAATGCCCTACACTGGTCTCAGTGCTGTGTTCACCTCCCTGTCCAAAGCTGGCATACACTGCAAATTGCCTTTAATGGAGATTTAACAGCAGTTGCAACAGGGGGATAAATTCAGTATTAAATCCACATACTGTACCATGTTTTTAATGCAGTGTTTTGTTTCAAAATTGGTAGCTACAAGGCACACACGTGGAAGTTCTCTGTGACATTTTTAGCAACTTCTGTTAGTCAGTATCTGATGTGATCAAATGTTTAACCTGTTCTGGAGTACTTTGTAGCTTTCCAAGGAAGAATTCTGGAATGTTACTAGTGCATCAGTTGATGCTTGCTTACAAAGTCACAGGTTATGATCTGTATTACAGACTCAGGGAGTTAAGGAGAAAAGATTTTCATTGCTAACTACATATGACACTAAGGAGGAACAAATGGTTTTCACTCCTCTTCTTATATGCAGAAGTAGGAAGAGAAGGCAAATTTCAAGAAGGAATGGTTAGGATGGGCAGAACCTTGGCTGAACTCCTTTCCTACACAGTTAAACTGAAGTCTGGAGGAAAACTAAAGGGCATTAGCAGATGAATCCCTTCTGGAACAAGAAGGAAAGAAAAATGTGTTTCTGCAGCAGCATAGCTGTGCTCCAGCCTTCAAATCAGATTAGTAATAAATTCAGTCTGTCCCACAAAGATTTAAAAGTTGATGTTTATCCTTTACTGGAATATCAGTCACTAGCTCACATTAAAATTTATGAAACCTCTTCCAAATCAGCTGCCAGAGTGGGATCTTCCATTTTGTAACCACTTGAGACCAGGCTGTTTGCTGTCCTAGAATAACCATACAGCTCTGCAGTACACGGTGCTCAGCTTATTTACCAAGAAAAGCAGCTAATGACCTGGAGGAGCTACAAAGTGGGGCTATGAAGAACAAAGAAAAAAAAGCTGTTAAAAAAGAGAGAGAGAGAGAGAGAGAGAGAGAGAGAGATTTAAAGGCATTTTTAATACTGAATTTCAGAAGATGACTACAATTCAGTTACGAGTTTTGCTGGCTAAGGTCAAAATTTACAGTAAGCCTAAGAAGTTTAAATTCTTTCTAAGCATGACATAAGCTCAAATTTGGTAGCTGTCTCACAGCTATGATTTTGTCCCATTTGCATGACTGTTCTCAGTAAAGTCTTTTAAGGTATCCTTTACAGGCTGAGAGAGCTGGGGCTGTACAGGCTGGAGAAGGCTCCAGAGACCTGAGAGCAGTATCTTCATTATCTAAAGGGGACAGACTCTTTAGCAGGGTGTGTTGTGACAGGACAAGGGAAAATGGTTTCGAACTAAAAGAGGGGAGATTGAGACTGGATATAAGAAGAAATATTTTTATGGTAATGGTGGTGAGGCACTGGGACAGGCTGACCAGAGAGATGTTGGATGCCTCATCCCTGGGACATTGGAAGTTATAGACGGCTCTGAGCACACACTGGAGCTGTAGGTGTCCCTGTTCATTGCAGGGGAGTTGGACTAGATAACCTTTAAAGGTTTTCTCCAACTCAAACGAGTCTATTCCTCAGTAAAACACCGCATTTATCAGACAGACTGGGGTCTTCGGAGTGTGAAAAGAACTGAAGAGGTCTGCTTGGAGGCAGAGAAGTAACAACCAGCCTTCTGCCTGCAACACTGGGCAAAGCGGTGAGTCTGGAGCTGTTCCTCCGAACTAGAGGTGAAGCGCTTCCATTCTAGCATATCTCCGACTTAAGGCGGCAGAACTTTTCATATACAGATCTAGCTGATACAGTTATCTCCAGGTCTTTCCCGACGTTCCACCAGCGCCCGTCGTGCCCCAGCGCCACCCCGAACACCAACCGGGGCTATTCGGGACAAACCGCCGCCCCTCGGCCGCTCCCCGCCGCCCCGCCCCGTCGCGAAGGAAGCGGCGTCTCTCGTTGCTACGATGGCGGAGGTGCGGCCACAGGAGCGTACGGCAGTGCCGGGGCGCTGCGTGGAGCCCGGCGGGACGGGCGGCGGAGCGCTGTGGCGGCGGGACCTCCAGCAACCGGCGGGACGCGGGGCGGGCGCGGATCCGTGCGCGTATCCTTCCGCGTATCCTTCCGCGAGCCGCCCGCAGGCAGCTGCCCGGGAATGGCTGCCCGCTGCTCGCCGAAGGGCGGGGTGGGGCCCTGTGGGGACGGGGGTGCGGGGCGGCAGTGTGGCAGCCGGCGTTCCCCAACCTTTTTTTTTTTTTTCTCTTCTGGGTAGAAGAAAAACGGTTTTGATAGTGTGGGACATAAGGGGCGCCATTTGTATGGTGAGAGGCACAGGTTGCCCAGGGGGTGGTGGTGCCGTCACTGCAGACGCTCCAGGGATGCTGGATGGGGCTCTGAGCACCTGATGGAGCTGCAGGTGTCCGTGTTCACTGCAGGGGAGGCAGATCAGATGGCCTTTAAGGGTCCCATCCAATTCAATCTTGTGATTCTGTGATGTGTTAAAATGACTGTAAACAGTAAAATATAAGTACATGTTTTTCCAGATGAACACTGAATGAGCTATGACCATAATATATATTTATGGGAGCATCTGTTGTGTGATTAACCAAACAGTCTATCAGCATCCTGAATGTAATGGGATGAAGTTTGACCTTTGCTGCTCACAAAGGTGTGTGAAGTCCATCCAGCAGCTTCTGCATCTGTCGTGAGCTCTGGAGACACAGCCAGCACTGTCCTTAACACACACAGCGCCAGGGACAGAGCTTTAGCATTTCCCGTGGGATGGGATTTAGAAGAGGAGCGCTGGGCGCTGAAGGAAGATCAAAGGCTGTGTCGGAGCAGAGCGCGGAAGTATTCAAAGGAGACCAACAGGAGGAGGAGGTGAGTAACAAGGGCTGTGCTGTGGGAGGTTAGAAAAAGCAGAGTGAGAAGTTTGAGACAGGTCAGTGTGTTTCTACAGTGTGCACGTTCACTTTGCTAAGCAGCCTCACTGCTTTTCCTAGGCTTAAAAAATTCACTAAACCTAAAATAAATTATAAGGGAGCAACATTCCGAGCTGCTACTTGTTGGACCAAAACCACATGTTGTGGCTCTGACCTGCACTTATGTTACTCTTCCATTTCTGTTATCTTTGATGGGTTGTAACAAATGAATTCAGGCATCCAGGAGTCGTCGGGCAGGCAGCTGTCACTGCTTGCTGAAGTGTATGTGCTTCTGAGCATGTGCAATGACAGTGCACAGCTTCCCATGTGATAAGGCTTGGTGTTCCCACTTCCCAGTAAAGGCAGTGCTAAGCCTCTCTAGAAAAGAAGTATATTTGTAATGGAGTTACTGTGTATTGACATTTTAAACAGAGCTTTGAATATTCAGCATTTCCTCATATGTGAAAGCACAAAGTCATGAAAAATTCTACAACCTGTGGGTTGAGTAAAACGTACACTGAGGTTTTGAGTGCAGTGGTGTAAGGCATTTCCCTAGCATTTATGTGCAGGAGAGTGGCTCTGTATAACAAACAGATGGATGGGCTCCTACTGAAGTCTTTTCGGAAGAAGCCCTCAGCCTCCAACCAACTTCTGCCCATTGTTAACTCCCTGAAACACGCTTCCCCCTTAGTTCCATACCAGGTGATATTTTGTACAACATTTATTTCCTGAAATAGGATGATAGGATGATAAGATGATAAGTCATCAGGGGCAGCAGACACTATTTATACTGCTGTTTTAGCTTCACAAAAGATTGACGTACTGTGCTGTCAGCACACATCTTGAAATAAAAAGAAGAATGAAGAGAAAGTATCACTTGGGTATGATTAAAGACCCACAACCCTTGCAGATAATATACCAAGCCTCAGTTGAAAGA